ACAACATCAAGTACATCATCAACACCTTCTTCTTCGTCATTAACATCTCCTTTTTCATCATCTACAACTCCTTCTACATCATCAACACCTCCTTCTACATCATCAACACCTCCTTCTACATCATCAACACCTCCTTCTACATCATCAACAATTACTACTACATCATCAACACCTCCTTCTACATCATCAACACCTCCTTCTTCATCATCAAAAATTACTACTACATCATCAACACCTCCTTCTACATCATCAACACCTCCTACATCATCAACACCTCCTTCTACATCATCAACATCTCCTACTACATCATCAACATCTCCTACTACATTATTAACATCTCCTACTACATCATCAACATCTCCTACTACATCATCAACATCTCCTTCTACATCATCAACATCTCCTTCTACATCATCAACATCCCCTTCTACATCATCAACATCCCCTTCTACGTCATCAACAACCCCTTCTACATCTTCAACAACTTCTTCTACATCATCAACATTCCCTTCTACATCATCAACAACTTCTTCGACATCATCAACAACTCCTTTTACATCATCAACATTCCCTTCTACATCATCAACAACTTCTTCTACATCATCAACACCTCCTGCTACATCATCAACAACTCCTGCTACATCATCAACATCTCCTACTACATCATCAACAACTCCTTCTTCATCATCAACAACTCCTTCTACATCATCAACAACTCCTTCTACATCATCAACAACTCCTACTACATCATCAACATCTTCTACTACATCATCAACAACTCCTTCTTCATCATTAACACCTCCTTCTACATCGTCATCACCTCCTACTACATCATCTACATCTTCTGTTACATCATTAACAACTACAACTTCAATGTCAACAACTTATTCTACCTCATCAATAAATTCCCCAACATCATCAACAACTTCATCTACATCGTCAATAAGTGTCTCTACATTATCAACAACCACACCTGCAACGACAACATCTAATGCACCGACGTCTACGTCAACAAACGCGGTTACGTCGACAACAACACAAAATAAAATGGAGATGGCTGCTCGAATGGGATTGGGATAAACACAATGACCGTCAAACATTGTCCGTGTGTTCAAATAATAATACTTGTATGTAAAGTTTAAATTTATACAAGTGCAGCTTTTGTTCTAAAGAAAAAGAATTGGACCTTTTTCGATTTTTTATTTAAGATGAATTAATCGTTTCGTTTTTTTTTGGGGGGATGGGGAGTTTTTTATTTGCACTTTTGTCTAGTAATTTTCAAGTTTTTTTTTTCGGTTTGTGTTACGAATTGGGGGGAGTAAGCAATGACCTGCAAGAATCTCTTTACTGAAAAACAGTCATATTATCTTTTTCTAGCATGAAGCCATTTTGAAGCCGAGAAGATGAAAGGAGCCAAAACTCCGTCTTAAGTTGCTTAAGAAGGCTAGTGTTCAAAGTCCGTTGATTATTCATTCCAAATGTTACTAGCGGCTCCTGAGCGAGCATATAATGTAAAAAAACAAACTTCCTAATGGGGGAATTGTATAGATATGTTTTCGAAGGGCGAGAATAATCATTAACGTTCGGTTAGCCAATGTGACACCTTCCTCTTGACACTCTCCTTGGAAGGATTCAAAAACACAGCGGTGGGGGATCAACGGCTTCAAGCCGGTGCTAGGGGGCGTGAGGGATGTTGCACTTATTCATTATCCCTCATGTACAGACTCAATCAAACCGAGTCTGCAATTCTTAAGCTATTTTGTTGTGATTGGTGCTTCCGAGGGATCACTTTGTTTTTCCAGATTTTTAACTACTCGGCCACAGACGCCCGTTGAAATTCTTATGTTAGTATTTTCAAATAAAATGAGGCGGTAAGGGAATAACATTGAAAACCTGGTTTAGAGGACGACTCGGACTCGCATCACAATAATACGACTGAAACTGAAACCTGCTTCACAATTTCAAAAGGTCTTTTTTCAACGTTTACTTCGCGCATGCATATGACAGTTCACTCTTAGTTGTGTATCATTATTCGTTGTGATTTTGTATATTTTATCCACAATATTGTGCTAATGCTCTTGTATTTTATGTATATGCAAAATAAGCCTTATTATAATAGAAACTTTACGAATCGATTATAACAAGGTGTCAAAGTTAACAGCTTTTTAGAATGATAGTATTGATAAGAAAAAATGTAAAAGTCAAGGTCGTCTTTTTATAAACAGAAGTATCAATCATAAAAAGCTTGTCAAATTTATATTTTACCCTGCCTGTTCATCATATTTCCCGTTTAAATAACAGGATGCAAAATATGTTTGATATATCGATAATGATAATTAGTACTGTAGAAAACAAAACATGACACCCACATCAAAAAAAAACACGAAAATAAATGAGCCGCGTCACGACAAAACCAACATAGTGGGTTTGCGACCAGCATAGATCAAGACCAGCCTGCGCATCCGCGCAGTCTGATCAGGATCCATGCTGTTCGCTTACAAACAAATAAAAAAAACTGATAGCGAACAGCATGGATCCTGATCAGACTGCGCGAATGCGCAGGCTGGTTTGGATCCATGCTGGTCGCAAACGCACTATGTTGGTTTTGTCGTGACGCGGCTCAAATTATTGTTATTCTCCCGCGGTATCCATTTTTACTAAAAATATTCAAATGAATTGTAGGGGGGGGGAAAGCTAATGTAATCTAACCTTCTCTCATAAAAAAGGTTTTTTTTACTTATTTTAACTAATTACATATTAATAATTTTGACACCGCTATTTACTATGATTAATTCATGAACTTTAATTTTGTTTTGTCGATGTTTAATTTTTGTAACAAAGCAGGAAAGATCCATTATGTATCCATATATAGTAAACTAATACAAAATATAGGAAAATTTAAAAGTTTTCATGTCTCGCACTTGCACATTAAAGTATGAGCAGATTTGTCAGATCTTAAATTTCAATTTCCTTGTTATAAATATTGTTTGTTTTTGCTTTGCACATAAAATTCACCTTACATATGTTTTATTCATTCATCCCTAATTATGTACCTATTAAAACTTTCTACTAACTAATCGTTTGCTTTTGGATATTCTTTATCCAAATCATTGATATCTAACATTTAAAAAAGCTTAAAACATATTTGTATTTTTTTTCGATAGCGCGAGAAAAGCTCAAATAGAGCTGTGATGTATCGTCGATATTTTTCTGTCGATCAATAATTGATACACATTTAAAAAAATCATTGTTTTTGACTAATTAATAAAATACCTAGAAATTATGAAAATACACCCGAAACATAACATATATGTGTAGCACTATGCTGTTGAAAAGGGAACATTTTATATCTGTGATGTTAAATATATGGCCAGATAAAAAAAAATCATTAATGGGCTTTATAAACAAGGAACTGAACAAAACATGTATTTTACTGAAATCATTTATACAGGTATGAAAGTGAATGACAGACAAGTTATTATAGGTAATTAAAAGATATATCGGTGTATCGTTGATATTTGTAATCCGATATCGATATATCGTGGATATGCTTCGATTTAAATCGTTGACAGCATAAATTAATAAATAATCTTAATGTCAAAGATCCAACTATTCTTGGGGAGTTGGAGTTGCGATTGCTTATTACAAAAAAAAATTTGAAGACCTTATGCGTCGTCACATGCATCTTCTCAGGCCCAAGATAGGAGAAAGCTATATGGATAACCTCCTCACTTGACAGAACTGGAATAAGTCATTGGTCTGATTCAAACAATCAGCGATGATCCCATGTAAAAAAAAAATAAAAAAAAGAATACGTGATAATAATACTATGCAGTGCCTAGTGGTGTATCAGTGAAATATTATACTTTAAAGTCTGATCAAAGACATTGAACGTCAATGTTTGGATTTTAGTGTATTAAGAACAAGTTATTAAATATTTGAATTCCTCAGAACATTTCATCCTTCTTTATGGTAGTAAGGTTAACTCTAAAAGGAGGAAGAGTTTTCTGGCCTTATAGGATACCTTAAGGCCGATATTTTAATTGCATGAATATTTTAGTAAAAAAGAAAAAAACAGAATCCTTAAAAGACTGTCTTGAACGACATAATTTAAAAGTGTTGCAGGCTGGGTTTGATTGAGCCTGTTCATAGACGATACTGGTAAGTGCAAGCCGTCCACGCCCCATAGCACAGGCTTAATCAGAATTCAACATTTAAACATTAAAAATGGTGAAATTTTCAATTTAGAAACATCCGAAGATGTATAACATATGGGTCAAAATGCTCTAGAAATAAAATACGGAGAGTTGCGTTCAGAATTAACCCGTCCCCACCCCTTGCCTCCCACCCACATCATTATGTCGCACAGACAATAAACACAAAGTGTAAAATAATTATCTCTAACTGAATGAGCAAGAATAAAAAATACCAAAAATTAACATGATCTATTAAATTATCCTCACTTAATGCACGTAAATTATATTTAGGCGCCAATCTTAACTTCATAGCAAAATTAGCTTAAAATAAAACATATCGCAATTAAATTAACAAAATTTGTTATCTAAAACATGTTTTACAACTTCAAATATTAATGCAAAACAAATAACATATTTTTTATCTGACCAGTTTCATTTACTTATGTCACATGCATGATATGCCATCGGAGCAAATAAATCCCGATGTTATGTTAAATCACATATTTTCGCGAGTTAAAATTCTCAAAATCTTATAAGTTAGGAATGATTAACTAATTAAAATATCCGCGAACGTCTATTTTCAGTGTTGATTAATTTATATGGCAGATACGTAGCGGAAAGTGATTTTTGTAAAAATGCATTAATTCGCAAAATTGGCGAAATTAAAGTCCGCACGAAAGTTACTGATTTGATAGTATCACATCATAAAATAAAACACTTACATAGGATGGATTTGGTTGTCATTGTTGCGCCAAAAATAGAATAACTTATATCATGTCATATTTTGTCATCCGTCATGTAAGCTGCTAGACTGTCACAGTTTCCCTTAAGCAGTGGTATAAGGCAGGGGGACACATTCCGTGCTCTATTGTTTTAATTATTTATCTTATTGATTTTTTAACAAAATAAAACTGAAATTCTTTTATGAAATAAAAAAACGGAAAAAAGGGAAAGAGAAAACAAATATTTAAAATTAAAGTGAAGCTAGTTATATAAAGTACGATAAAATAGTAGCTTAGTAACTTTTAGTGAACTAAATGTGTTTAATTAAGTCAAAACATTGATGATGAATTTCATCTCGATTTTTTACGTGATTTTATTCTATTTTTGGAATGTTTTTCTGTCAGCGGACGCTACCGCTATGCTCAAACCCTCACATCGAGGAACCATGTGGACTCGTACAAATTATAATTCGGCGGGATATAATTATATGGGAATTAACTGTGGAGGAATAGGTGTAAGTAACAGTGTTTTTTTAATCGTTATTTTTTTATTGTAACAAATTGTAAAAATAGATATAAATCATATGGTATATTTGTTCGTGGAAGTGGCGATATTCCTTTAAAATCGAGTTGGAAAATTTAAAAAAATATATTGTTGTAAGAAATCATATGAATATAAACTGTGGAAGAATAAAATTAAGGAATATAGATGTAAAATACTTTCAAATGTAATTTTACAACTTTAACGGAAGAACATATGAAAGTCACGTGAGACATTATTTGAAAAAAATAATTGCATTTTTTTAAACTTAAAGAATAAGCATCAGTTTTAAAACACATTCATTTGCATATATGTTCTTTCAAAATTGGAAACAAAAATATTCTTAAATGAGCAACATGCGTGATTTATAAAAGGTCGAGTAGAAATAAAGACAAATAATTTATAAATTATATCCAAAATAAACTTTACGGGTACTTCTGCAAAGAAATTTTCGTTCGATGTTGTTAAAATACATAAACTAGATAATCATATATTAAAATATATATTCATGACTGTGATATTATAGCATTATATTGTCCACTAATCTATATTTACCTTTTTTTTCCAAAATATACCAAAAGAACTAAAAAAATAATTATCTATATCAGAACATATATGTACCATAACTTAAACAGGAAAAATAAAAAAAGACGTTCCCCGAAATCAACATATTATCTTTATCACCGGTTTATTCCTTTAATTTTTTTCTCTAGTTTTCAGTTAATCAGCTTTTGGTCTAACGATATCTTTAAAATTATCATCACATTTCTTCGTCAATCTACCTTCATCATCTATTAAATACTTGCCGGTTTTTCATTTTCGAATGTTAAGTACTTTCAGTACTTTGAAGTATAAGCAAACTTTTAAAAAATTTAGGAGTCTGATGCGAAGTGGTCATCAAGCAATTATAGCATACATATGCACCGTATTATCACGTGACCAACTTGTCACTTTTTTGTTTGCTTTGGCAGTAAACATTCTGACATACGGCCGTAAAACATTCATATCAACTGTCTATTTTTCTGATTTGCTATTAATTCTCGTTTTGTAATGAAATAGTCTGTTCAGATATACATAAATGACTAAATATAGCATCACTCAAAATATAATTTGTAGTTACCCAGTTACAAACCATGTCAGAAAGATAAATCGGGTCAGATCTGACGTGCAATAAAAAGTTAAAAACAACGTGTGGCAAGTTTATTGCTCCTAAACCTTATTTCTTTAATTCTTGGAAGCCACATATTTTTGTACTCCATGTCCCCAGTTTGGATATTCATTTTTTCTATTCTATAATTTTACAAGTTTATAATCCAATTTATGTTTCTGTTCTCGGCATGTTGAACTTTCAGTGAAGTTGAAATGTTAGATTCTTTTAAAATGTGGTTGCTTTAAGACTTGTGTCTGAATGAAATTTCTCCAAAACACGTGCCAATTAAACAAAATTGTCTGTACGGAATATAGGGAGGGACGGGGGAGAAGAAAAATGTCAATAAGAGTCGAACAAATGAGTATTTCTAAAATTAAATGAATACGTACAATAATCACTACAATTCTATATTTTCTCAAAAAAATGTATATTTTTGACCCTGACAAATCATTATAAATTTATCAGTACGTTCTTTCCATAATGTTTTATAATGCTTTTATATATATTTCACAAAATTTGATTTCCCCTCTTTTCTCTGATGGCAAGTGCCCGTACAGGTTCAAATCAACGCCATGTTATTTCGAGTAATAAACAACAATGTCATGTTATATAAAATATCTAGTTCTTGCAACAGATATTGTCAAGTTCTAAACAAATTTGCACGAAACAAAACATATTACGGGAATACACAACAAAACAATTTAAACAATAATGTGTACAATATCAAAATGTCACATACATTTTATGTCACGAAACGCACAACAGCACGTGCCATACAATTTCAAGAACAAAACTTTCTCTCTATACAATTGTCACGCATATACAATGTCACATTCAGCGGAATGTCACGAAAAGCACAATTACACGTAACATACAATGTAAAGAACCAAATATAATCTCGTGACTTGTGTCACACACATACACTGCCACAGACAATGTTGTGTCACGAAAAGCACAATTACACGTAACAAGCAAATGTCATGAACTAAACATTATCTTGTTATACTTGTCACACGCATACAATGTCACAGACAATGTTGTGTCACGAAACACATATTTACAAGTAACATACAATATTAACAACCAAAGCAATATTTGGTAACATTTGTTTTGTACTTAAATACAGTGTCACCTCATATACATTGTCATGTAAAACACACTTCGGAACATGTAAACGGCATAATGGGTTTAAGGTAAATTTTTCAAGAAAACGAGAACTAATAGTATGACTAATGACTTCACAGAAAACATTAACCAATCATTGAAAGGCCTATTTACGCTTAAAAGTGCTATCATTTTTTTTTCTCAAAATGTCCTTCATTTGTGTTGTCCTGTTTTAGAGATGTTACTTGTTAATCAGACATCTTGGCCATATTTTACTTTCTTTGGTAAAATTATTGTTATTTAGTTAAAAAAAAACTCAAAATATTATTTCCAGTACCATCATGTCAAAAAATCTCAGTGGGGTCCCTTTAAAGTGCCTTTAAATAATAAATGTGAGACTACATATATATTTCTATGAGACGCCGTCTCGCAGACGACTGTTAACTTTGACATTCAGGCGGAAATTGCTTATCAAAGACTGGGACACAAGTCATCGTAAAAGCCAAGATTTCTCATAAATGTATAACCAATTTAATGCCATTTTCGTGAAATTAATAATTAATTAATAAGTTACAGTCAAACAAACAGTGACAATAGGTGGACAGAAACATAATTAATTGTAAATAATTTCTTAAAATTTTGCTAAAGTCATGGGAATACTTTCTTAATATCCACCCTTGTTTGCTCATTAACTTCATGCGGTAAATTTCTGTCAAGACTTTTTTTTTTCTTGAAAATATTTTATTATCAACTTTATATGACAATTCGTGAATTGTTCACTGCTTGTTTAGTATGCAACTTTGTTGTATCGTTGTGAATTTATCACTGCAAAAATGCATGTTTTATGGGCGGTAAAAACTACTCTTTATGTCGTTTGATGCACGCGTTCTGTATTAAATGACGCTTACCAACTTCCGGTTCAATGTTGAAACCTCACAAATGCAGCGTTGATTTTAAACACCTTAATGAATAAAAACCCTTTATATTTTGATAGATGCCCTTTTAACTTTTATTGGTAATCTTATGTTTTAGGAAAACTGATTGTTTTTTTTTTTTCTCTTTTTGTTCGTAGTTGTAATTGCTATTGTTTGATACGTGCAATTAAGAGACCATTCACCTTTTGGAAATTCCATGAATGCATTTTTGGCATAAAACGATCGAAATAATATTTCTATTAAATAAGGTTAATAATAAATTAGATTTATATAAATAATAATATTATTAAAACGTGATAAATGTACCTTGTGCAGTGTTGAAATAAAAATATCGTTTTTAAAAAATAACCACAAACTCCATTATTTCATAAATTAAAGGCGCATTATTTCTAAGAAATATATATTTATCAAATTCTTTAGAAATATCAAGCATATGGCAAATTATGATGTAATTTTTGATTTAGAGCATGTAAGATGTTTAATAACTAAAGGGAGTAGCGCTGAATGTACAGTAAAGTATCGTAATGGTAGCAAAATGTAAACAATGTAGTATTTTGACTACCATACAAAACATTTATTTACTAAAATTATATTGTCAACAGGGCAAAAGAAGCAAAGAAAGTTCATCTATATGGCAAATGAGCATTATTTTTTTTTTTTGAAACTGTAGCAAGATACCAAAAATAGAACGTTTTTGAGAAATAAGAATGGTAGCATTTCTGATCCATAATGGGCCTTTAAAAAAAATATTATTAATGTATATATTTCGTTAACTGAAAGTGAATGATTTTTTACTAGAAAATTTGTTATTTAGGGTATATTATGAACTGTGCATGTACGTATCTTTCGTATAAATTAAGTCCTATGAACCTGAACTTATCTATCCGTCACCATATTCTTATTTATAAAAAAACTTGTTATTGCAGATTATTTTTTTTTCTATTTATAGTCACTGTAATTCGTTTGACAGTTCATATTTATTTCATTCTAATATTTATCATCTACTTGTATTTCCGGTAAAAAACAGATTTCCCATAATAGCGTAACGTAAATTACTTTTCTACGTTACATAAATCACAGTAACTTCTATATTTTGTACGTTTTTGCAGTGGTAACGTAGGGTCAGTGATAATTTATACAGACAGGCCGACAATAGGCCCATGATTGTCATATGCACTTGTCACAATGTGTCAAGTTCTACATGTATCATATTAAAACCTGTATGTTTTTTTTTCTACTTTACCTTCTTGTCTACATATATATATACACACTCATTAACCACACAAAAAACACCGATATTTTAACAAGTTTTAACAGATGGTTATTTTGCGGTTTATTTTTTCCGATCTTTTTTATGAAAATTACTAACGAAGAAAAAACGTGATTTTAAACAATTTGTTTTTACACCAATCATATACCATTTCTTTAAAAAGATTTACCATCAAAGCTGGCTTTATAACAAACATTGTCTCCGAGTTTATATGGATTTAAATTTCCTATGATACAAGATATTGTAAAGCACAAAAACAGTCATCGAGTTAAAAAAAATGTTTAACGGGCAATTTGTGAAAAGACTATTGACTTTACGTATAGGCTTAGTGACATCATGGCATTTTGAGCGCGTGTGATTCATAATCATACGTAACTTTTGAATTACATGGATAAAGTAAAAGAAATTATATCTTATGGAATATCCTATTTTTTCTCTTTTTGTTTCAACAGTGAAATTATCTTACAGTCGATTCCCGAACAAAAACTGTAACAAAGAATGTCTGTGATTTAACA